TTTTTTTTTATTTGAGGTCCTTGTTGCTCCTGTTTATTTTTAAATACAGGCCTTGTTGCTGTGGTTTTATTTTATTTGGAGCCTTTGTTGCTCCTGTTTATTTTGAATTAGAGCTCTTGTTGCTCTGGTTTTATTCTATTTCGGGCCCTTGTTGCTCCTGTTTATTTTGAATTAGAGCCCTTGTTGTTCTGGTTTTATTTTATTTGGGGATCTTGTTGCTCCTGTTTATTTTGAATAAGAGCCCTTGTTGCTCTGTTTTTTTTAAAATTTTATTTTAGGCCCTTGTTGCTCCTGTTTATTTTGATTTAGAGCCCTTGTTGCTCTGGTTTTATTTTATTTGGGGCTCTTGTTCTCCTGTTTATTTTTAGTTAGAGCCCTTGTTGCTCTTGTCACGGGCTATTGTGGCGACACTGTGTTAGCCATGCCTGTTACTAAAAAATATTATTTACTGTATTTTGAATCTTCAGTGTTAGTTCTAGGTACTTGTTGTTTTCTTGTTTTCTTTAGATGCCTGCTTGTTGTTCATAGCGATTCAAGCAGCCATCTGCTCAGGCGTTGGAGGCTTTGGTCTCCTCCCCTCCGCAGCGTGTCAGGAGACAGAGTTTGGTTGTCGATGGCAGCTCGTCATCCTCAACCCAGCAACCCTTCCTTCTGCATGAATCCTTGGCAGCACAACCTGTGTCACAAGCAGCAGCCTTGTTCCCTGTGCAATCCCAGCAACCTCCTGCAGCACCAGCAACAGACCAGCCCGCCGTTTTAACTTCACCTATAATGGATTAGGTGGTGTCGCAGCCATTGCTTTCAAATTTAAGCTCAATGGCCCAGCAAGCACAAAGTGCCCCCTCCACATTACCTCAAGCACATGCCGTGTCACTCCCTTTGGAACAGTCCACTTCTTTACAGTCTTCTGGATCCAACATTTAACAAGTCCAAGGACATGCTGCCATCCAAGATACAGTCGAGGTACCTGCTGTTCACGATGGCGTCCAGTCAGTTCTAGCCTCCCTGTCAGGTGAGCAGAATTTGCTGCCGGGAACACAGCGTGCCAGTGATGTTTTTATGTCTGTAACCCTACCAATTGACGCACGGAATGAATTTGTTGATTTTCGCTCTCTTCTTGTTGATCCAGCTTTTGAGGAAAAATTTCGTATTACACTCCAACTCTCCCAGGAAGGCTCTTCTCCATCGTTAGCTCTTGAGCCAGTAAACAAAGCTAAACGTATTACATCAATAGATGTTTGGCTCCAAGTTTTTCACGTGTATGTGGGTATTTTTACTGCACAGTATCCCCATGAGGCTCCCGGCCTCATGAAGTATGGGGCTACTATTCAGGATCTGGCTGCAAGGGGGCATAATTGGTGTTATTATGATGAAAACTTCGTTTTCTGCGCCAGTCTCAGGGCACCTCTCTTCCCTGGGGGACTATAGATTGGGAATTGTGGTTGAAGTCTCAGATTAATGCCAGAAAAACCATTCCAGCAACCGGTGTTGCTAAGAACCTTGATGTCCCTCGGGGTTATTGCTTCAAGTTTCATAAAGGGGGTTATTGCTCAGGATGCTCTTTAAGCACTCATGTGCTAAGTGTGATGGTCTACATCGGGCTATAAATTGTAATTTTCGTGCCTTTAGCAAAGGAAACGCTTCCAACTTGTCCAAGCAATGCAGCAATAAAACCCCTAGCAGCCGCATCATTCGGCAACCTACTTCTTCGGGAACTTCCCACACCCGTAAACAGTGATCGTTTGCAATTTTTTCTTTCTGGGTATATCCCTTCCGTAGTAGAGCTTTTATCCAATGGTTTTAATTATGACTTTCCCTTGCACTATGAAGGACCCCAAGACTCTTCATGCGCTAAAAACCTACTTTCTGCAATCCAAAATCCTGAGGCAGTTGATGCCAAACTAGATAAAGAAATTGCCGCTCATCGCATTGCGGGCCCTTATTCCTCTCCACCCTTCCCCATTTTCGTACATCTCCACTTGGTTTGGTTTCTAAAAAGACAGAGGGTGAATTTCATTTGATTCACCACCTTTCTTTTCCTCAAGGGTAGTCATTGAATGATGGCATTTCTTCAGAATTTACTAGCGTATCCTATGCTACGGTTGAAGATGCCATTCATATCATCAGAACTGTTGGCCACGGCTGTTTTATGGCCAAAACAGATATTAAGAATGCTTTTCAAATCATTCCTATTCAACCCCAAGATTACAACCTTTTGGGGATTTTTGGAGAGGATTTTATTGTTATGATCGCTGTATGCCGATGGGTTGTTCAAGCTCTTGCAAAGCGTTTGAATTTTTTTCTTCTGCCATAGAATGGATTGCCCAAAAGAAATTGTATATCGATCACATTTTGCACCTGCTGGATGATTTTCTCATTGTTTCCCCCTCTCATGATTTGTGTTAACAACAGCTTGATTTATTTTTAATGCTCTGCCAATATCTGGGCATTCCTATGGCACCAGATAAAACAATTGGCCTTTCATCAATCATTTTATTCGCAGGTATTGAACTGGACTCAGTCCTTATGGAGGCTCGGCTGCCTCCTGATAAACTAGTTAAATGTCAGGACTTAATTTCCGGTTTTCTCAGGCGTCGCAAGGTTACTTTACGTGAGATACAGTCGTTGACAGGTTTATTGAACTTTGCCTGTACAGTAGTTGTTCCTGGCCGTGCATTTCTGCGTCGTCACATTGATTTGACAATAGGTATTCGTCATCCTCATTTCCTTATCAGGTAGACTCGAGAAGTTAAAGAAGATCTTAAAGTCTGGCAGCAATTTCTGTCTGGTTTTAATGGTCGTTCCTTTTTTCTCTCGGTTGATTGGGCTAATTCGCACCATCTTAAATTGTATACAGATGCATCTGGTGCCATAGGCTTTGGGGCAGTTTTTGGCAGGCATTGGGGCTATGGCGAATAGCCCATAAGCTGGCGTCATCGCAACATAGCATTTCTTGAATTTTATCCCATTGTCCTTAGTCTGCATCTCTGGAGACGTACTATTAAGAATCAGCGTGTTTTGTTTTTTACTGACAATGAAGCGTTGATCAATGTTATTAACAAACAGATTTGTCATGACAAGGACTTAATATTTTTTGTGCGTAACCTGGTCCTGGTTTGTCTTAATTACGTGTCATTGTCTGAGAAAGTGTTCCAGGGGCCAAAAGTTGTGGTCAACCGATTTGGCTGAAACTTGGCACAGGAGTTGGGTATAATGAGATATTTCAAAAGCCACTTTGGCTCACTTCTCTGAGTTTTTAGTTTTGGAGTTACAGGGGGGGTCTCATTTTTTGCCCTTTGAGCACCAAAAATCTAGCCTTCCAGGGGGCATTTTGAAAGTGTGATAAAACCCCACTGGTAAATTGTGCTGCCAAATGAATTTGACCATGAACTCTACTGTAATAGAGCTTTCAGTCCATGCATGTAACTTTGTCCTCAAGGTATTGCACAGAGAGAAGCCTGGGGCTAGAGTTTGGCCAAAATTGATGTTAAAATTACAACCCAAAATAGCCATTTTTCAAAATTTCACTATATTCACCTGCCTTCTTGCATAACTTCCAAACCTATACCACTGTTTACTTTAGTCACCCAGTTATCAAAACCAGTTGAGAAAAATTTGGCTTATTATGGTTTATTGAATTTTTGGAACAAACACTTCATGCCCCTCTAAGGCGATGCAAAAT